CCCGCTCTGTCTCTGGTGAAGCCTCCCACCCTCCACATCTCTGGCCTGTACCCCAGTTCTGTATGAATAAATAAAAATTAAAAAAAAAAAAAGATTCCCCATCAGAAGAGTCTAGGAAAGTTTGAAAATCTACACAGAAATACACAGGAACATTGCTGAGTAAATGGAAGAATGCTGCCTCTCATCTGTATTCCGGCTGCCACCAGCCAAATCCATGTGCCACCAACTCAGACTCTTGTAACATACTTAAAATTCTCTTCTAGGATCAACCTATCATGTACATGAATCCAGATTAACATTCCAAAAGTTTACCTTCTAAAAAAATATTTCTCTAAGAACCTACAGGCTTTTGATTCAAGTAAAGGGTACTCAAACTGTCTTTCTGCCCCTTTCACATCATTAAAAAAACTATTCTCAAAATGTTGAGCATCTCCTATATGCAACTACCTCCTTTCTTCCTGATTTCTCACAATTGCCTCATATTTTAAATTCCTTTAGAAAGAACCGTTTAAAGATTCTACCATCCTCTCAAAATTTCTAGGTTAAAGGATAACATAAAAAAAACACCCTCAAAGTTAGTTCTCCCTTCTGACCAATCATTTTAGAAAAAAGCATCATCATTCTGGCTTAGCAGACCTCTCCTATCTCACCCACTGCTCCCCTCATTCAGTGTATTTTGGTCAAGTTGCCTGTTCTATTCTCCATTCTGTCTCTGGTGAATCCTCTCAACCCCACCTTTGGCCTTCACCCTAGCTCTTGTGTGCATAAATCATTTTTTTTTTAAGATTTATTTATTTGTGCATACAGAACTGGGGTATAGGCCAGAGGCTCAGGGGCAGCGAGAGGCTTCACCAGAGACAGAGTGGGGAGCAGAACAGGCAGATCTACGAAGTACACTGCTGAGGGGAGCAGCGGGCGGGAGGTCTGTGGCACCATGTGGATCTCCTCCAGGGCAAGCTGGAATCGAACTCATGCTGAAGTGGCTTTAGCTTCTCAGTGCTGTGCTTTAACCCACTGCGCCACCAGGGAGGGCCCATAAATCATTTTTTAAAAGTATCATCATTCTCTCAGTCAACCAGAAAATCTGACTTTATTCTCCTTCAGTTTGTATTCTGTACATAGCCAAACTAGACCTCAGACCAAGTTTTAATCTGTTTTAATTATGAGGCTATATCAGATCTCCAAACCAATCTGCACATATTACCCTAAACCTGTATCCTATTACTATGCTCCTCTTTGTTGGAAAGTAGAAAAAAATTGATCTGTTTATGTGTTCATGGCAAGTTTTAATGTAGGCAATGACTTAAACTAGAAGATAAAAGAAAGAATTATTGGTATAAGGTGACATGACATAGACTTAAAATTAGAAAAGGATAGAAACAGAATTTTGTAAAACAACATTTCTAAAGAATAGACTATGCTGACATTTTACAGGGACATAAGCAGAGAAGTATCAGAGCTTACTCAAAGTTTTTTATTTTAAGCAAGAGAAAATGGTGGTGTTAAGTTCAGAAGAGAAGTGAATAAAATGAATGCCAGTGGGAAAAGTGGTTGAAAAGCTTAAGAGAAGCTTTATAAATATAGATATACAATGATATTCACTCTCCTGATAAATTTATTTCCAGTATGTATTTTTTTTTTTATTTGCAAACCAAGTTCTTGAATTCAGTCAACTCATTTAAATCTATTTCATAGCAATGAAGGATAGGGAAATTTTTAGAGGTACAAGATATTTTTTATATGTTTATAGAAAAAACAATTATATTTATTTTGCTATTCAGACAAAACTTGTGTTTTTGGTGGAAAATTGAACATTATTGGATTTTAGCATTACCCCTAACCAATCATATGGGAAAAGTAAAACTATACATCTGCTATTTCACTACTTATTTCACCACTTTGGTCATATGTGAAGAATAATTTCAATTTCAGATTGAAATGTTTATTTTAACTATGCATTCACTTTGTGAAAAATACAGAATGTAAAACTTACAGCAACCTAATCATTTGTTTTTTTGCTTCTCGCTAAGTGCGCACACATAAACTGAGCAGTAGGAATTCTGACCTGAAGAGGCTGCTGGGAGATATCCGCATTTGCTGATGAAAGGGCTGCGAAAGCATCAACGAGGCCATTGTTCTGGGCTATATCTGTTACCGATCTATACTTTCCACCTAGAATGTAAATAAATTAACTTGGTAACGTCCTGGAAATAGTTTTTGCATAAAGGGTTATGTGTTAATTACGTAACAGCAAAAAACAACAACATAGTTTCTGTATGGATAATAAAAATAAGTCAAAATCCGAGAGGTGTAAAAATTAACTCTGAAATAGTCACTTAATGTCATAACCCGTAAGTGTGAACTGATTTTATGCCTTATTTATAGAAATATTACTTGACTGATGTGGGGCAAATAACCATGAAATATAAAAGAAGATTTATTTTTAAGATTTATTTATTTATGCATACAGAACTGAGGTATAGGCCAGAGGTGCAGGAGTGGTGAGAGGATTCACCTGCGACAGATCTGAGAGCAGAGCAGACAGATTGACAAAGCACACTGCTGACGGAAGCAGCGGGTGGTTCAGGAGAGGTCTGCTGCGCCATGTGGATCAACTCCCTGGCTGGGGATTGAATTCTCACTGAAGAGGCTGTGACCAACTTTAACCAGTTTCACCACCAGGGAGGGCCCAAAAGAAGATGTTATAATGCAGTGCAGTAACGCCCACAGGTTTCACACAGCCCCTTTTGGGAATTACTTGATACAATTCTAACAATGTTAGGTTTCAGATTTTCTAGTCAGAGTGTATCAGAATTAGAAAATTAGAAAGGTGAAGGAGCTAAGGTATCCTGACAACTGCTGGCAATGAGAAGAGAAAAAGGGAAAGTAATAGACACAAGTCCAGAAAACAATTTCTTGAAGGGATACTTACTGTGACAAAATAAATAACAGTTGCCATAAAACACCTTGAAATAATGGGAATTTGTACAACTAAGTATTAAAAAGCAATTACATGTTTTGTAACATTAGAGATCAATATAATATAATAGTTAATATTTGTGTTATACATTGTATGTTCTCAGTATGTTCAAGAATTCACTAAAATGTGGCTAATTTTTATCATCTGTCTCTGTACCTGAAGTAACAACTACCCAGCAGTTATTCTAGAAACTACGTTGTTTTTAGATCTGTTCAGTATGTGTTTCCTTGATCTCCACCTCCACCCTATCCTGTAGCCTATGCTCATGAATTTCTCACTATCCTCCATGTGCGTCCTGCATTCTCATTCCAGCAGGATTACTTAGTTCACAACCTGGTCATCTTTTCTCATCATTTTTTCCTCCAGGAAAAAAAAAAAACAACAAAAACCTTCAAGGCCCAGTCTAGGTGTTATCTCTCTTGTCTTTTTTGATGCTGGGAAATTTAAAGGCTTCCTCTGCTCACATAGTGCCTGACTCCTGCTGTGATAGAGGAAGGTTATCTGACTATGCTCTCTGATTCATACTTTTGCCTCCCCAGCCAACTGGATTAAAAACACATTCAGAACAGAGAGTGGGTTTGCTTTGATTCTGGCTCCCTGCTCTTACAGAGATGGAGCTTGGAAGAAATTAAGTTGTCTGCTTCTACACTTAGTGCACTGCTATCAAAAGGCTAGAATAGATAGGTCATAGTTTACCTGTTCGAATGCTCATCTCTATGACTCTTTCATCAGCAGATGGTCCCAAAGCAACAAAATGAACGATGGCCCCACTATTTCCCACTCTGTCAACACAGTTCCCTACAGAAGAATCTTCCCCATCAGTCAGCAGCACTATTTCAGATCCCTCCAATTGGCGTTTTGCAAATACCTGCAAGCATAATGAAAGTACAATTAACAAATGATCCCAGATCAGATAGATCAAAGGGGAAAAAAAGTATAGAAAAAAATTAGAGGAAAAAAAGTATAGAAAAAAATAAAGCAAAAGTGCACAGAAAGGTAGAGATATCTAAGTGCCCGTGAAGGAAGGTACCAATAATTAATTTATCTCAGGAAAGTCATTTTATTTCCTCTTCTCTACCCATTTTGTTTTTTTCTTTCTTAGTACATATTAAGAAACTGAGCTGAGTCCAAGCCAAGAAGAAAAATATGCCACATTATCAGTGGCTTTTCTGGGTTTGGAGTGGAGGTATCTGTAGATTTGTAGAAGAAAGCTTGGAGAATAGAAACCCCTAATACAGCTGGTATTGAGAACAATGTGATTAGCCTCAATTCAGTTTTCCCAAGTTTTCAGGTAGAGGATGACTGATGCATATATATTATAATATATGTAAAATATATTCTGACATGCATTAAAACCAAACTGAAAATGCAAAATGTTTTTATACATTTACAACATCTATACACTACCCCTACCATACCTTTCTACACAGCCAAGAGCAAAGTGAAGATTCAAGGATGAAGTGGAGTTCTCGTTCCTTTTCTTTTTTCTTGCTTGCATTAGTGTATGCACTGGGGACTTATGATATGTTAATCTAACCATGGTTGCTATGTTTTAGCATGAATTACATGGTCCCTGCATTCATTGCAACCATTGAATTAAATTTTAAAATATTGAGATTTGGGCTAGAGACAGTTCTAGAAATGAGTTTCTATAGTTCAAGGAGAAGCTACACAATATTATATTGCTACCACATTTTAAAAATTGTTTAAATATGCTTTAGATTGTGTAATTTGATCCAAACCCAAGCTCCCAACCTGTGCCTAGGTCATTACTGCACTGCCATTCTTACAGTTTATTTTGTTTTAGGCAACAAGAATCATATTCCCAAAACAGAAATCGATTATCAGTTTAAAGCCTTTCACTAGCTCTCTGTTGTGTTTAAAATAACATTCAAATCTCTTATATTTTTTAAATTTGGGAAGATGTAGTCACTGTATATGACATCCAGAGATCCCTGTCCATCAAGCTCATGTGCCACTAGCTTTTATCACTTAGAATAATCTAGTTATTTTCAACCTCTTTCTAAATGTGCTTTGCACTTTTCTTTCTGTCTGAACCACTGACTCCTCCTCTATTCAAATCTTAGCTTTAATGTCACCCTTCAGAGCAAGCCTCAGTGCTCTATTAAAGCAGGTAGTGTTGCCAGTTGTTCTGTAACATCTCCCTATACAGTATCTTCACAACATTATTTCCACAATATGCAAGTTTTTAATTTATATGTGTTCTCTTTTTCCTCAATTAAATAGCATGTACTATAAGAGCAGAGAGGTTTTGCTTGGCTTAAAAGTATATGTTGAATACAGGGAAACATGAACAGCCCTTTGTGTTTGCTATCATTACCCCATTTTACCCTAAGAAAATGGAAAACTGAAGAAGTTAAGAATCATGCTCAGGATCACAAAGCTAGTATGTCAAAATTGCAGTTTGAACCCAAGACTTCATGTTAGAAACCTGCACTGAAATGTATTTATAAAAGAGGGCGATGCGGCCCTCCCTGGTGGCACAGCGGGTTAAAGCACAGTACTAAGAAGCTTAAGCCACTTCTGCATAAGTTCCATCTCCACCTGCCCCGGAGGAGATCATGGGAGGCAGACCTCTCCTCACCCGCCCACTGCTCCCCTCAGCAGTGTACTTCCTCCATCTGCCTGTTCTGCTCCCCGCTCTGTCTTTGGTGAATTCTCTCAACCTCCACGTCTCTGGCCTGTACCCCAGTTCTGTATAAATAAATAAATAAATCTTTTAAAATAAATAAATAAATAAAGAGGGAGCTGCAGTAGGATTGGGAGTAAGATAAAAGCTACATGAAGGAAAGGCTTTTAAAGAGTCAGTAGAGTTTTAACATGGAAATAAGGAAACATTTTAGGCAGAGGAATTGCCTAGACAAATGTTTAGAGGTTTTTTGGTAACTGCAGGGCTTAGGAGACAATGTATGTAGTAAGTTGGTTGAAGTTAGAGCATCATAAATATTGAACTGAGAAGCTTGACAAGAGTTGAAAGGACTTTTATTAGAGGATGAGAGGTTCTTGACTATCGTCAGACAGGAATTCAGATAATTTTATAGACTATGAGAAGATGGTCATGATTTCTAAGCAGGGAGATAATGCAATTGATATGAATTTTGAGTTCAAGATGACCATTTAAATAAAAATAAAATATCCTTATCATAATAAATGTGAATATGAGTGATGCATTTACTGTATAATAAATATTTTAAGTATATCAATGTATCATTTCATTTAATCTTTGTAATAATTCTATGAGATGATGAGCATTCTTATTTTTCTGTTTCATAGGTAAGGCATTGAGAGTCCAGAGAGACTGAAAGTTGCCTTGATCACAGTTGATAAATAACAGAGTAGGTACTACTCTGATGTCAAAATCATATTGTGACCTATAGTCCTTATTCTATGACTAACAGGCACTGCTACATCTGCTTTAACCTATAAACATTAGTTTTCCCTATCTGAATGGCACAGAAATAAAAGTAAGGATTGTTCCAAAGTGGATTCATACATATAATCTACTTCATTTCTTAACAGTTGTTAATTTTTGCTCCCTATGGATGTCTTTATTTAATAGCATTTACTGAGTAAACACTATTGCATAGCAATAATAGAAGAATTCCCTGACCTCACAGGGATTATTCTTTAGTGGGATTTAAAGGCATATATTCACCCATCAGTTATTGCTTCATTAATTCATTAAAAAATCAAGTGAATTTTTCTATGTGCTTAATCTTATGCTGTTTAGAATTAATTATATTGAAATTAGGGAGCAAGTACATGCAATAGCACTTAGCATAAAAAAATCCTAATTTTTTTAAAAGTATATTTGCAGTATTATTCTCACCGTAAATGCTAAGTCAATTCCAGAGCAGATGGATGTTCCTCCATCAGCTACTGTAGGTAAGAGCTTCATGAGTGTGTTTCTTTCCGTCTCGCTTGTTATTTGGGTTAGCTCACTTAGGACCAATGCACTACTATCAAAACGCACCATTCCCACAAAGGAGCCTTTTTCAATGATCTCCTGCAGGAAATATTTTGCAGCTTGATTCATTCGATTTAGCCGATCTGCTCTCTACAAAAAAAAAAGAAAAGAAAAAAAGATGAGAGAAACAACCACAATGCTTACCACTCATTGAATGAAGGTAAAAGGAAGGAACAGCTTCTACTGGGCATATCTCTTATATGGTGGTGCTTTTAGCCTTTGTCTGTGAACATAGAGGTTATTTATTTAGATGATGCAAATAAAATAAACCGTATTAAGATTTCTGGTTGATACTGAACCTTCACATGGAAAAGAATTCAGAAGCTCCTAAGCTACTCTCTTCTATGTCTGTCAAGTATTTTTAACAGGGAGAGGTTAGAAAACACTTCCATATTTCAATCTATAGTTCTGCTGTTCTAACTAAAGTTTTGCTAGATGTTCTAAGGTCCTCATTAAGCTCTCAGTTTTCTGGATACACAGAGACTCTAGGTTTAGGTCTTTTCAAATATATTGCCACCCCCTTTCACTACAGTTTTCACTGCCTCTATGAGGTCATGATCACAGGTAATTAATGACATTTATGGCACCATGCAATTTAGAACAACCCAGGTGGAGGTAATATTCAGCGTGCTCTTAGGCATTCAACACCTTCCTGTCCCATCCAGGAAAAATGGACCCATGAACTTACCTGCATGCTTCCGGATGTATCAAGAACCAAGCACACAATTCTTTCACTAATCCTCAGTAGTGAGAAGATAGGTGGAGAGTGTGGTGCCGTCAAGGGTTTTGTGTTGTTTAAATCATCGGAAGTTCTGATCACCTCCCATGTACTTCTAGAGTTGCACTTTTTATTTTGTAGGGTAGGAGCTTCTCGGTTATGTTTTTTATCACAGAATTGGGTGACCTAAAAGTTGATAAAGTGGAAAAAAATAGCATATATGATGCATTTAAAAGTTCAACGACAAATTTGAAAAAATTTAAAAACCTGCTCTATTTTGATGAAATATGCTTTATTGAGGAATCACAAAATAGTGTGGTAAATGTAGTTAATACTAATTGAGTGCTTACTATGTGCCAGTCAGTGTTCAAAGAACTCTATACCAACATGTTGAAAGTCAGTGTTCAAAGAACTCTATATTAATATGTTGAAGCCCTCAGGTCATGTCACAGCATTTCTTCAAATGATAAACATACTACCTGAAATAATGATTGTCATACTTACAGAGTCAATAGCTTGCATATACATTATGGATGCTTTTTCAGTCTGAACTTGATCAGGGAAGAACTGACAATCTTCTTCATACAGTTTTGTCTTAGAATCAATTCTGCATGTTTTTTCTATGCAGCTATCTCCTTGACAATGCAACACTTTGTTGGTGCCAGTGATACCTGTGGAACACCTGAAAATATTTGACAATTCATCTCTGAAGCAATTTAACCATTAACATTTTTTTTGAAAATCTTTAGTACTGCTATGCACAATGTTCATTATATAAGTATTTTAAATTTTATTTGTTTGCCACACAGTTTAAGGGTTCCCACTTGAATAGCCAATTCTTTCCAAAGAAATTTTAAAAGGAAATTTCAAGTGAGGTCATCAGGTTACACAATGGTTGAGTCCTCTGCTTGTATTCAAATTGCTGCTGACCTAAGATATAGGTTGCCCTTTCCAAAATCTTTTCTGGAAGCCTCATAGTGGTAAATGCACTCACTACAGGCTCCTGGACTACTTTGTGAAATCATGGAAACAAAACTACCTTAGCTTAAAGTTCTTTGTAGCTCTCTTATAAGATGTTACCAAAAAAAATGGGATGTGGCATAATTACAAATATTATTATTAACCAAAGAGAATTTTTATCCAAAGTGATAAAATGTCACTTGAAGGAAAGTCTAAGTACTGCCTAAGACAATACAGATTGGTTGAGGCACTTTATAGACATATTTTTTTTGGCATGGAATTGGCCACAGGTGATCGTGATTATAAAAAATACACTGGGGTGTGACTATAGCTCACCTTTTCAATGTGTTTCCACTCAAATCCAAGCAATGACTTGATTTATTTCAATTATTTGGGAAATTTTCTAAATAGATGTCTACATTTACTGCCCTGAAACTCAGTGAGCACAATGATATATCTATATTAACAGTCAAGATAGTCTGCCATGTACACTAGGCATTTAGGGGGAATATGATTCAAACAAATATAATCATTGTAACATCCTTCAAAGTATGTGTCCTGAAACTGATGCTATGATACTGTTAAAGAGTCTTAATTGAAATAATGTGTCTTTGGGTACATGCATTTTTTATATTTGTCATATATTTTTATTCCTTCTTAGTCATTTTATTCGTTCTTCTGTAGTTAAGTAACTTGGATCTCTCAACACATAGTACATCCCTATTACAGAGTATACCACCAGCATAAATGAGTTCTATCAGCTATGGTAAAGAGGTGTGAAAACATGTAAATCTGCATATATATATATAAATGAGCAGCCAGCTACCTTAAACTACATTTTTCTAATAAACCAGAAAAGCACAGTTTTGTGAAAAAGCAGAAATTGTCTACTTTGGGATAAAGATGGTAATATTTGAAGGAAATTAGTTTAAGGAGATAAGAAGTTACAGCCTAGAATAATTTAAGAAAATTTAAATAGTCCTGCCTTGTTGCTTCAATTTTTTTTGACTTAGCAGCGTAGTAAGGCTCATTTTCATTGTACTCATCAAACACGCCCCAGCGGAGATGGGCCCACTCATGGACTAGGAGTCTACCTGTGAGGAAATATTTCAATGATAAACATCATTCAAGTAATAAAATTTATCCCAAAATATTTTAAGAATTTTTTTTCAATAAAAACATTCAGACTTTAAATAACTGCAAACATTTGTACTTTTGTTTATAAAATATTTCATTATATTGCATAATATATAGATGCATGATATGGTATGTATTTTTTCCACAATATGTTATGCCAAGTAAAACATACTACATGTATGATATATATAGAATTGGCTTGATGTTGGGTTTTGGTTATTAGGGAGTAAAAAGACTTAGGGCCCTCCCTGGTGGCGAAGCCGATTAAAGCACAGCACTGAGAAGCTAAAGCCACTTCCGCATGAGTTCGATCCCTGCCTGCCCCAGAGGTGACCACATGGCGTGGCAGACCTCTCCTGACCCACCTGCTACTCCCCTCAGCAGTGTACTGCGTTGATTTGCCTGTTCTGCTGCCCACTCTGTCTCTGGTGAATTCTCTCACCTTCCGCATCTCTGGCCTGTACCCCAGTTCTGTATAAATAAATAAATAAATAAATCTTTAAAAAAAAAAGACTTAGATATTACAGTGGTTTTGATCCTACAAAACTCACTCCTCCCAAAAACCTAAGTATCTTTGTACTTATCTAAGTATTTAAGTATTTACCATAAGTACTTAGGGTAATAAAATTTCACAAGAGTGTAATTAAGTGTTAAAAATGTCTATAACTGATCTTTAAGTAAGTGATGATGAAGAAGAGTTTGGCAATAATTTCAGTGCGATGGGCCATATTTAATTTAGGGGTGATAAAAAAAGAAGTAAATGTTTTACAGTACTTCACACATACAGTACTTTTCATTAATTATATGAAAACAATTATGGTAGTACAACTTTAACAGAATACTAGTTGCTATGAAACAAAGATGAACAAAATATAATAAGGTTAGAGAAAGTCAGAATGAAAATAAAATTCTTCCTGGAAATTTTAAGGCAAATAGAAGAAATAGGTTGAAGTACCAGAAACAGAAACAAATGGAAATTTTATTATAGCAACATTAGGAAAAATGTCAAAGAAAACAGAAATGAATACATTGGAAATCTAGTCTCTGCTGCTACAATGCATGTTTCTCTAATTTAAATTAACAGCTTGTGAGATGTGAAAATGGGGTGTGGAGAAATACTAATACTACACAAAAGTCATTTTTCTTCTTTAAGTTCTTGCTACTTTAAGTATCACCAGGATCTAACAAGAAATGCAGAATAGTGGGCCCACTTTAGATCTAAATTAGAATCTGCAGGTTAACATAGTCTATAAAGTTATTCCTCTACATTTAAGACTAGAAAATATTGGTTTGAGGTTTCCCAGTCTGATGGGGCCAGATTATTAAACTGGAATTATATATAATATTCAGTGTGGGAGCAAAGGACCCTCATTCCAGTTACTGCAATAGAGACTCAAATTTTAAGAAAATTGAAAACTGTTTGCTCTGTGACTCCCTTTTTAAAGTAGCCCATTCTCAAACTTGCTTCTTCCTCAGCTCATGGCAAGTTGCCCTGCCTCACCTACACTCACCTTAATGCCAAGAGAAAAGATTTCAGATGCTCTCCATCACAAAGGAAAAAAAGAAAATATCTGTGTAATGAGGTGATGTGTAATTAGCTTGACTGTATGTATATATGTATATTAATCATTGTGTATGTCTCGGAAATGTACAATTTTTATTTTGAAAAGCAGTCCCCCGACTTAGAATTCCACTTCCATTTCTGTCAATATCTTAGTTTCCACTAGCCCTGGTCTCATTTCTAATATTTCACTGTGTGTGTGTGTGTCTTTTTGGAGGGACAATTGGATTCAAATGGTTTATATTTCTAGACTCCCTCATAAGCCTGTGCCCAGATTAAGTGAAAATTACAAGGTAATTTTGACATTATTTAAACTTTAAACCACTACTAACACTTGAATATCATAATTGCTATAGCCCAGTCTTCACCATATCAGTTTTGTTAGTGGTAATAAAAATACTGATCATATCATCTTGGTATACACACTGATCTCTTGTGAGAAACAGTTGGCCAATAGGATGGAAATGGTGAAAAAGACATTGGTTTAGACCTATCAGTATGTACTGGGAAATGTCAATCATGAGTCTCATTAATCATTTTCCATTACATTTCTTCATGACGTACTAAAAGGAATCTCTACCCCTCTGACTCCTTTTGATACTTAGCTATTTTCTTTTTGTTCTGTGGACCACCTGGATTTTAGATCTCTGGCCAGAATCTCTTTTCTTATGTCTTTTGACAGGTTTTACTGAACATGCAAGAAATGGACATAAAGTTATTACCGACTTCTGAAAAGCTGAAAAACATTTAAATTCATTTAAAGAAATTGATAGGATATTTATTTTTAATGTCTGCTGTAGTGGCATTCTCCAGCCACACTGAGTAGTGTCTACTTGGACGGCCCAGATGATCCATATGCGTACCTGTTGTTCTTGTACTGTTACTGTAAATTGCATAGATTTTGAGGACTTAGTTCTCAATCTTTTATTCCCCAAAGCTTTGTCAAGTCACATAGTAGCATAAAAACCTGTGGGGGCTGGCTGTCAGTTGTAGGCTATGGCTGAGGTGTGGGTGTGGGTAAAGAACAAGCGCACAAAGGAACATTTTTTACGAGAAAATCCTCCTTTTCTAAGACAGGTGGAGATAGAGATGAAAGTAGGAATGAGTTTGGAAATAGAGAGGAGAATTAGGAAATCTATTTCTTCATTCAAAGCATCTTTTGATTGATTGAGCCTAAAAGAATGTCTAGAGAATGAGAGAATAGTGGTAGATGTTTTACAACAATTTTTATGTCAATTGAGAAGGGAGTTGAGATTAGAAAAGTAAACATATTATTGGGGTTTCCTTGATCCAAAATAATATATTTTTCTAATGTTTTATAATTTTCCTTATGAACCAAAGGAACTGGATGGAAATTCAAAAGAGTATTTGGAAGTTAAATGAAATTTAAACATGAGAGTGTTGAACAATTTTAGCTATTTATACCTGTGAGTGAAATGACTGATTTTGCTGAACATGCCAGATAGCAAAGAGAGTTTAGCACAAAGTCCACAAAGAAATAGTGGAATAGTCAGACTATTGTATGTGGAGGGATTAGATTCGTGTGGGATCATCAAACTTTCACAGTTGGGGTGGGTTAACTGGTGCAGGCAATAATGAGCAAAAGGATTAGGGAGTCATTGTCACACAAGAGGCTTGATGAATGCTCATGGAAGATGCAGTGGAAGTGGTGACCTTAAGTGTATAGATTCAGAAAGGTTTTATTGGTTAATGACATGTGAGTTGTGCTTGCCTTCAAAAATTAATCAATTTTATGTGAAAAATAATGTGCATTAGGTCATTTGAAATAAAGATCTGAGCATTTAGATTGAAGTAGATGAAGCTGCCATTTTTATAGGCAAAAATAATCACTGGTAGACAAATTGAATACATATATCAACAACTAGTAGCCTGTATTTGTTTTCTTTGACCAGGAACTGACATCTTCCTCTTTTCATCTTGTTAATCATCTACCTTTCAATATGGTGGCATGTCCAGATGTGGAGAATTGGAAACTTAAAAACTGAAAAGTATGCCTTAAGAAATTCTCTTGCTATTCCTACTCTGTTTTCAAATTTTATAGACACCATACTGATTGTAATTATATGGGTTATGTAATTTAATGTTCCTAATAACATAAACTAAAAAGTCTCTCTTCACAGAGAGACTAGCTCAATTTTCCAACCTAAAAGTTAATATCTTTGTTTCAAAGATATTTATGGCACAGCTCATAAATGAGCCCTTGAACTCTGGTTCCAAGAATTGTACATCTAACATGGATACAAAACTGCTTATTAGATTATAATCAACCTACCTGATGGTCCATATTCCTTTTGTTTTTTCCCAAGGACAAAGTCAGGAGTCAAATGAATGAATTCTCCTTTTTCTCCACACTCTGTGAACTGCCTAGTGTATGGTTCGTCATCACCTGGGTGGGCTGGTGGTGCAACTTTAACATCAGCCTGAGAATGTTTAAGAGATTTTTAAACATTTCTATCAGAAATAGAAATGATAACATTTAGCCTAAAAATTTTGAAATGATCAATTTGCAGCAGAGGAGCAACCAAAAATACAAGCTTTTAAGAAAAGTTGTTTGGCTCACATGTGTGTAGCTTTCTTGTTTTGGCTTCTTGTACTGCGGTTTTCCTTTCCACTTCTCAGGAATTAATATTGATACTGTTTTAAAGAACAGTCTTTTTCCTGTGGCTTCAAACAGGTAAGTGGAAGCTTCAGTCACCATGTTCTGTTGTTCAGGAGAAAAATACATGAGGGTGACCAAGTGAGAATGGATCAAGTGAGTAGGGGTTGATTTTAGGAATAGTACAAATTAGGAGTGAAGAGAAAAAGCAACAGACTAATGAATAGGGTCTCTACATCATAATTACTATTCTGCCACCTGTCACACAAAAATTATAGTTTAACCTGTTTGAAGGATTTATTTTCCATAATCCTTTATCAAAGGGCACTTATTTCTTTTGGGTCTTCTGGGAATCATATCATAGCATCAAGCATATAGAGTTTCAACTCACCTTCTTTGAATACTAGCCTTAGCACTTCCTGGGTAATTTATATAACCAATTTATGTGGACCAATTTACATAACACTTTCTATTTCAATTTCCACATATTTAAATGCACTATTATTGCCTATCTTTAAAGTTGCTTTAAAGGTGGAGTAAATTATAAAGTACTCTACATACGTAGTTATAAAACTGATGATTATTGTTACTGATGATAGCAGCCCTATGTGATGCAAGCTAAGGAGAACATTCTGTGGATGTGTCATAGGAGTTTTTCTTTATACTCTCACCTCCAGGAAAGGTTGGATTAAGGGGCGGACTGATGGAAAAGTCCATCGGAAGGGCAGTGCTTTCTGCTCCTAAGCTGACAGTAATATAATGTTCAGCATCTTGAATCCAAAGACAGTGATTAGTAATAGACATAGTCCTATTCTAGACCCTTATTCTAGAACTCCACTACTTAGTGGAGAAAATAAGTGGGTGAAAGGGTCTTTTGATAATCTTTTCTACAAAACCAAACCCAGTGAATAATTGAAGGATGTTGGATACTAGACCACACTGTATTAAAGTCTTTATCTTGCTAACAGCAGCCCAGTTCACAGTGCTATTTTCCTCAAAGCAGGCTCTCCTTCCCCATGATGCTGCCTGATCTAACATAAGCCCACAGAATAGTTATTCATCTTCAAGAATTCCAGGGGGCCCTCCCTGGTGGCCCAGTGGTTAAAGTGCAGCACTATGAAGCTCTTCACAGCCACTGCAAAGTGAATTTGATGCCTAGGCAGAGAGGTGACCCACGAGGCATAGCAGACCTCTCCTGTCTTGCCTGCTGCTCCCCTCAGCAGTGTACTTCATCAGTCTGCCTGTTCTCTCTCTGATGAATCTTTTCACTACCCCTGCACCTCTGGCCTATACCCAACTTCCGTATGCATAAATAAATAAATCTTTAAAAGAAAAAAGAATTCCGAGCCTTCTTTTCTCTTGAAGAGAGTCCAGTGTGCTCACTCATGTCTGAAGAAATGAGCAACTCTTTGGATTCAGAGCTATTGGATCCATCAGAATCAAGGGCACAGAGAACAGAAAACCCAGAAGACTGGTTAGGAATGAGGAAAAGGGTCAGCAATCCCTACAGTAGATTGAAGGTTACTTCATCACTAGCCTAAAACAGACTGAAGAACACTCTACTTGCTCCCTAAGATGTCTGTCCTCTTTTTGGGGGAGCACCAACTGCTTATTCCCCTCATTTTTGTTTCTCTATACCAACTCTGTAGCATCCAAGCTGCTTTTTTAATTGATTTTAACAGTTGAGAAAACTATACACCTCAAGAGCATGTAGCCTTTTAAATTTTCTGTTGTCTCCCAGTCATGAGCCAGCAACATTCAGTTAGCACTTGCTTAAAGCACTGTTGAGCCCAGCTCTTTATTTATATAAAGAAACTGAGGATCACAGAGACCTGTTCCTTGTGTTTGGTGTAATGGTGAGACAGGGCAGAACTGTGTCCAGGTCCTCCAACTCCCACCTCCCGTTCCTTCACTTCATTACACTGCTTATAAACTTCCTGGAACATTCATAAATGTCCATAACAATTATTGATCACTAGCTTTTTTTTTTTCCTTTTCCATAGTCAAAAATGAAAAAATTCCATTACTGCCTTACCTCTATTTTTCCAATTAATGTTTCATCTTCTGGTACATCTGGATCTATAGCAATGATGACATTTTCATAGCCGTTGTCACTCACTCGAACAAGAGATGTATTGGATCTCTGCAGTAGGTACAGCACCAAGAACAAGACGGAGCTTCTGAATAGTCCCATCATTTCTCTTGAGTTGGTCTGTTCCAACTTAAGAGACTTTCTTTCACCTCTGACTCTCTCTATATATACTCCAAAACATTATCAGTGTCAGCTCATTGTGGGACTTTGACCATATAAAGGTTAACATTACATATGTGGGAAAGTATTTGACCAGTTTACACAATACTTTTATTGTATATTATTGTAAAAGTGATAACATAGGTGTAATGATATTTTTATGAAATATTTTGCACATTTTTACTTAGGAAATTTTTTTCTAGACTTTCTAACTTTGGTTGATGTCCTAAACATAAATAAATTGTGTTTATTCTACAGAGTACAATCTGAAATTTAATATTTTATAATGAAGTGAATAGAAATGATAATGTCTTCAACTTACAAAACAACTTATTTATTGTTTAGATTATCTATCAAAGTTATAAATAATGGAAGAAAATAAGATTGTTAAATATAAATAATACCAAATGAGTTAAGATAGTATTGAAATCTTTAAATTAAAAAATATTTAAACTGATATATTAAGGATTTAATAGATATTTAATTCAATTTTTTAAATACTATCCATTGACAAATGAATAGAATTTGTTTTAAACAACTATATTAAAAATGTCTGATATATTTGTAGCAGAGTGAGTAACATTAATATTTAACATGTATTCACGCTTATTAGGGCAATGTTTTTCTAATAACCCACACCACACATCTCCAATGTAAGTCTGACTATTATCTTCATTTTAGGCATGGAGAAACTGAGACAAACAATTTTCAATAACTTGTCAAGATAGCGTAGCTAGTAAATGGTAGAGTTAGCATACTCCAGAGCCCGTGGAAATAACCATTCCATAATATGGCAACATTGTTTTGTAAGACAAATAATATGGTAAGTTTTTTTTTTAATATAAAGAATAATAAGGGCCAGGTTAGTAGTTGTGATGATGAATCAAGAATGTCTAGTCCTAAAACAAAAGGAATCAAGATGCATCAGAAACCCACAAGGGAACTTAAAATAGGAAATACCTTTAAATCAAGAGTTCAGGTAGGAATATTGCTATGTTGCATTATGAATAAACAACATCGCCAATATGGCAGTATGTGCCAGACTCTGCGCTCTCAGGCAGCATCCTACACTTCCTTTCCATTACCTCGGGAATATTATGGGATCATTATACATTCCTACATTTAACATATTGTGCAAGAAACAGGATGAAACAGTTACACTGGAAACTGCAGGGAAACTGAGATCAGCTAGTGGTGCAGGGACTGGGTAGCAAACACATTCTAGGCAGTCTCGGCCCTCTTCCCTCACTGACCATCCTTCCCTGAAATTCAGCAACAAGCTGCTGACAGACCAAGCATGCTCCTACCCTATAGAGTTGATCCTCAAGAAAATTCTTTTGACTGATAGAAAATGTTAACTAGTGAATGATTATCATTTTAATCCCAAATAAAGCCATATCAGAACATGCCTGAAAAGAAGCTAGTCGAGGCCTTTGAAATGCTAGAGAAATGGGGTCTTAAATTTCCTCTTGTATTTGAGGGATTATCTAGGTTATCAGAAAAAGGGCTATTATACTCTAAATAAAATTGGGAAATCTGTGATTTCAAGGCTAAAGCAAGATTCTTCCTCTTGGCCAGGGTTGTTGAGAAAAGCTTTTTCAGACACTGGATACATGTCATCCAGGGGAAATAGAAAAACATAAGATTTTCACTATTTTGTTCACTGAAAAGAGTGATGTTTTCTGAACTCAAAAAAGGACCTAATTGGATTGGATGAATGTAGTCCTTTCACATTTTTTCTACTTTCTCCTTTGATAAATTTCTAATATTTTTAAGACAATGAAGTGGGAAGGCCTCCCTGGTGGCACACAAGTTAAAGTCTCAGCACCATGAAGCTCTCCAGCTACTGCGACATGAGTTTGAACCCCCACCAGGAAACTAGCTCACATGGCATAGCAGACCTCTCCTGTCTTGCCCACTGCTCCCCTCAGCAGTGTATTTCAGTTGATCTGCCTGTTCTGTTTCCCATTCTGTCTCTGATGAATCCTCTCACTGTTCCCTCCCCAAACCTCTGGCCTTTACTTAGCTTTTCTATGCAGAAATAAAAGTAAATCTACTGGCCCTTACAATTATTTATTAAAAAAACATTTTTTCAAAAGTTATTTTTCTGCTTTTGGTTATTACTGTTTGTTGTTGGTGTTCACTGTTTCATTACATTTATCATTAGTCATTGCTTTTATTATTTTTAGGTTTATAATGCAATTCTTTTTTGAGCTTATGTTGATTACTGGTAGAATAATTTTTATTTTATTATTGCCTAGGCATAAATCTAAGATGAATACATTGAATATTATTTTGGTCATGTTCTAGAAGTTGTTTTTTCAAAATTTATTTATTTATACATACAAGAACCAGGGTATAGGGGGTATAAGTCAGAGGTGCAGTGGGTCAGAGGATTCACCAGTGGCAGAATTGGGAGCAGAATAGACAGGTGTATTGAAGTACACTGCTGCGGGGAGCAGTGGGTGGATCAGGAGAGGTCTGCGGTGCCATGTGGGTTGGCTGGGGATTGAATTCATGCTGCAGTGGTGTGGAGAGCTTCATAGTGCTGTGCTTTAACTCCATGAGCCACCAGAGAGGAGCCCTTTTTTTTTTTTAAATGATATTTCAATCTAGATAGTTTATTTTGCTCTAGTGAGGTATTTAATTGTTGCTATGTATGGTCACTATACTTTAAATTTTGTTTTCCTCTTTAATTGCATACCAGATTGAAGGCATTTGGAATATTTAATACTAAAATTGCTTTCTTTAATTAATTCCAATATTCTTAAATGTCATAGAGAATTTCAGTATTGAATTTTGTATTTTAATAACTAAGTTGGTATACAGTATTACAAAATTGATAAATGTTTTTCTGAAAATATAATTACTATACGTTGTTTCTGTATAAACCCTACTTGTGTGTAAAAACTTAAATACAAGCTAAAATACAGTTTTTGTTAGATTGAATTTTTAATTCATAATCAAAATAGGGAAACAGTTGGTAAAATTTGGCTTGTAACTGATTCCAATGGGTAAAAATATTATTATATAGTATAACAGTTTATAATCTTAGAAGTTATAGTTACTCTGTAAATAATTATTTTATTTTCTGTTTGTTTTAAACTGAAGTTTATTGACTCTGATAAGCCACAGTTTATTTATTTACAACTGAATGAGTAATTCTGTCTTCCAAG